CTTCAATGGCATCCAGTTATTTAAGATATAAACCAAAATACTTAACAGGCCTATTTGGTATGGCCCTTGCTAAGTGTACTGTAGAGGAGTACATACTGAATTCTACATAGAGCAACTTTCCTCAGCATCTCTGTGCTCCAGCTAAAATGGTATTTTTTCAGTTCTCCCATGAGATTTTTTCATACTGAAATGCTTTTCTTCCTTTCATCTAGTTTACTTCAAATCTCAGTCCAAAGATCACTTGCCTGAGAAGCATCCCTCATCACCTAGCCTCAGTCATATTCCCTTATTGCACAGTATTTTCCTAAACTCCTGTGCCCCCTTCGTACTACTTTGTAGTCACAGTGTGACTATTTTTGAGGCAGACAGAATAGCAACTCATCTATATCTAACATACTAAGCTCTCTTTTACCGAAAATATTTTGACGAATTTTCATTCATACATAAATATGAAGGATTATTATAACAATCCCCAGTGTATCCCTCAGCCAGTGTGCCCAGCTGTCATTACATTCAATTTTTCCCTTTAATTTTTTTTTGCCTTGGGGCCTCCCCAGTGTTGCAAGGCTAGGTAAGTTTCAGCACTATGAAGGTACTGGCAGCCACTGCAGCATGAGTTTGATCCCCAACTCAGGCCAAGGAGCTGACCCACATGGCGAAGCAGCCCTCTCCTGTCTCACCCATTACTCCCTCAGCAGTGTATTCCGTCAGTCTGCCTGTTTGGCTCCCCACTCTGTCCCTAATGAACCCTCTCACCCCTCTCCTACCCCACCTCTGGCCTACACCCCAGCTCTTATATGCATAAATGAAGAAAATAAATCTTAAAAAAAAAAATACTTGGCTCTAACCTCACATAATCATAAACAGATTTACAATATATATGAATATCTTCTGGGGCATCTGAAAATGATGAAGATGTGAAACAACTGATTTTTCCATGGAGGGGTGCCTTACAGGGTCAACTCCATCCCCTAAAGTCAGATCACCCTCCCAATTACTTCAAAACCACAAAATACCTCCATAAATTTACATAAACCTCCGTGGGAGATGACCCCAAACTCACTATACCACTATATTAGGGTAAAAGATAAGTGCAAAATCTCTGTAGACACACTGCTTGTGTCTAAAACCTGGCTTCACTGCTTACTAGTTGTGTGATCTAATCTCTCCCTACTTAGGTTTCCACATTTGTAAAATAAAAATAATATCCATATCAATGTCATGAGAGAAGTAAATTACAAAATCCATATAAAGTGTTTTGTACAAAACAGGCATTAAGTTTTTGCTTCCAATATAGAGCAAATTCCATGACAATTACCAGGAATGTCTGTCTTGTTCATCATTTTATTCCCATTACTTGGCATACTATCTGGTATAGAACAGTATCCAATAATTGTTGAGTGAATGAAAACAGATTAGCAGAGGTGATTGGAATAGAAATATAAATAGTGTAGGACCTTAAACAATGTTATTTTAGATTATACCACTAAAATACATCTATATATGAATTGAGAATTTACCCTGATAACATAATGATACAAAATATCTCTGGATATCTTACCCAAGAAACTGATAAGTCATTGCCTCTGGGGAAAAAAATGCAGAATCTGGTGTCAGGGAATTACTGTTTAATGGAGACCATTTGTACTTTCTAAAAGCTTAAACAAAAGTGCTATCTGCCTATCTCATTTTTTAAAGAGTTATTTATTTATGCATACAGAGCTGGGGTACAGGCCAGAAATGCAGGGGATGAGAGGATTTACCAGAGACAGAGTGGGGAACAGAACAGGCAGATGTACATAAATTCACTGCTGAGGGGAACAGCGGATGAGTCAGGAGAGACCTGGGGGCCATGCCATGTGGGTCAGCTCCCTGGCCAGGAATCTAACTCCTACTGCAATGGCTATGATAGCTTCATAGTGCAGTGCTTTAACCCTTTGTGCCACCAGGCCCCCTATCTCATTTTTTTATACCTAGAAGATTTTAGGCCCAAGAATCAATACTGCCTAATGGTATCATGGACAGAACTATTTTGGAACTATAGAAATCACCGTGAGGTTTGACTTTCACATATTTTTTAACTTTCGGAATGGTTCATTATAGACTATCACTCTAGATAGATGGATCCCAGTTTATGTAACAACAAGTATAGTCTCATTAGATACTCATTACCTGTCCAAAGAGATACAGAGACAAGCAGCATGAATACTAAGAATCATAACAATTTTACATTTACATGCCATTTTATGTTTACATAGAGTAAGGTAGGCAAAAAAAAAAAAGACTTTATAATTAGACAAAAGAATAGGTCTACCTCCTTGAGTAAATGTCAATCTCTCCAAGCTTCCAATTATTGCAATATAAAATAATACTGCCACATAGTTATCAGGGATTCAGCTAAAAATACTTTTAAAAAAGAAGCAATTTCTCACAATGAGCTTTGTCTTTTTAAAAAGGTAATTATCTATAGTTTGAATAGGTGATCTAACTGTTCAAAAATTTTAAGACTTACAATTGGTTTCATGCAGGAGAAATGTAATTTTATAGTAGAGATTCACTATTACTAATTGGGGGGAAACTAGAGTATATAGCATGTCCTCTTACATCACCTTTATGTGCTTAAACTGAATCTAGCCAAGTATTTACTCTACCTGCTAGATTTTAGTTACAAGTGTTAAATTCTGGAGCCTTGGCCCAATGGGTTGATGCACAGTACTATGAAGCCATCCACAGCCACTGCAGCATGAGTTCGATCCCCAGCCAGGGAGGTGATACACATGGCACAGCAGACCTCTCCTGTCTCACCTGCTGCTGTCCTCAGCAGGATATTGCAGTTGATCTGCCTATTCTGCTCCCCACTGTCTCTGGTGAGTCCTCTCACCCCTCACATTTCTGGCCTGTACCCCAGTATTTGTATACATAAATATTTTTAAAAAATTCTATCACTAAGACCCATATATATCCAGATAATTTGACCAGTACTCTTCAACAAGTCATGATGAAGAAATAAAAAGGAAAGAGGAGATAAAAGGTAACTACTTTAGATTTTAAAATATTTCAAAGAGACATAATAGTCTAATGTAATAAAGACTTGGAAAATACATAAAAATAGTGAAAAATGGAGGGGGACACTTTGGGAAATTTTTAATAAATTTTGATTGTTAGATAATATAGAGGAATTACTAATGTTCAATGTGATTGTGATACTGATTATGCAAGACAATGGTTCCTTTACTAGAGGCACATACTAAAGTATTTATGGGTAAACTGTCAGAAATGAAAGCAAATAAAGCAAAAGATTAACAAACAGATTTTAAAACCTGAATGATAGTTACAAAGATTCTATATGGTATTTTCTCTACTTCCCCAGATATTTAAAGTTTTCATAAGAAAAAAAAAATAGCTGATAAAGAAAATGATTCCTGGGTCTCCCTGGTGGCATAAGGATTAAGTCTCAGCACTATGAAGCTATCAGCAGCTACTGCAGCATAAGTTCAATCACTGGCCACGGAGGTGGCCCACATGGCACAGCAGACCTCTCCTCACTTGCTGCTCCCCTCAGCATTTGTATTTCAATCAATCTGCTCTCCACACTGTCTCTGGTGAATCCTTTCACCCTCAACCCCTGCACTTCTGTCCTGTACCCAGTTCTTGTATGCATAAATAAATTTAAAAAAGAAAGAAAATTGTTCCCTTCCCATTTCCCAGAACCTCCACCTCCAGCAACTGTTACCAGTTTCTAATGTATCCTTCCAAAGACAGCCTATACATATAAATGCAAATACACATATTTTTAAAAACCACAAATGGCTACAAACTGCACACCCTCTATGCACTTTTTTACCACTTAATATATCTTGGAGATAAATCAGTGTTAGCACACAGAGTGCTGGCTCATTCTTTCTGATAGATACATATTTTATTTAGCCAGTACCCTATTGATAAACATCCAGGACACTAAGTTCTTCATTCTTGCTCAGATGAAAAAAATAAGAGGAAAAAAAATCAACTGTAAAGTTTCAATGAGTGGTTCAGGCATGTTAGATGGCAATTGGAGTATCAAAATGTAACTTGTTTACTGTGAAAACAAATTAATCCTGAATTTCCCACTACCATACTCCAATTACAAAAGATACAATTCTGTCTACTTCTCCCTGAGCCATTCCAGGTCCCAGAAATGTCTGCTAGCATCTACCACTCACTATCCTTTGCTTCTATTGTAGAGATTTCAGATTACATATGTCCTAACCCTGGATGTACAATAATCACTATTCACAGTTTTTCCTTTTTAAGTCTTTTTTTTTTTAACCCAAGCAATTGGTTCTGAACTAAATGTTTATAACATCTAAATTGATATAACAGGAAAAGCTTTGGTATCATCTGTTAGTTTTACCTTTTAACGGTTATCTTGTGGCACATTACAATAAAAATTCTGAGACCTCTTCTGAAATGTGCTCCATAAAACCACCTTCCATTACAATATCTCAATTTTTTGTTACATACCTAAGTGTTTCTGGCAAATGTGTAGAAGATGGAAATAAATCCAAGTTGAATGGAAATATTATTTCCCACTAATTCACTCAAGATCAACTTTAAGAAAATGGCTTAAGTTTAGACTTGGCCCTTAGAAGTGCTCAACAATTTGTTAGTTTTGACTTGAGTAAATTAGATATAAACGATTATAATGGTGGACAAAGCACTGGTTTGTTAAATAAGACTTGCCCTTTATTAGGATTGGCAGTCCCGGTTGCTAAAACCCATGGAAATTTCAAATGTCTCAACAAGATGTCTTATTTTGACTTTCAAAGATAATTAAATTGAAAAGATCGAAGGGGGGAGGGGTGGTGCAAAACATTTCCTCTCCATAATTATGCACTAAGAGTCAGGTTAACTATTAAACTGACACATACTGAGCGCTCCATAATTAGTAGCTGTTACTAAGACGCATCTCACGGGGACAGAAGACCGAAAGTGGAAAAAGAAACGAGGCTGTCACTTACGAGAAGTCGAAAGGTGTTCCTGGCCTGAGACCTGTAGGCCTTTAAGCACCTTGGTCTGTGGGATTCCTGCTGCACTGGGGGCCCAAGGAGGTCAGCGGCCTTCCCTAAAGGTCAAGGATCTGCAGCCAGGTTTCCTGCTGGAACTGGGAGCAGAGCTGGAACGCCCCCGCGAGAATCTGTACCCTGAAGCCAGAAGCACCGCCTGCCCATAAACCCGCGCCGGCTCTAGGAGAGAGGATGATCCGGTTGCCCCTATGCCGCAGCCCGCAGGACCCGAAATCCAGCCGCGTCCCGCAGCCCAAGCCTCTCTAGGAGGCAGACCACCAGACCTTCGCTTCTGATAAGCCACTAAACAGCCCAGCCCCTCGATACTCACTCACAGCCGACCCCTCTTACTCCATCAGACCGCTGAGGCCCCGGCGAGGGAGCTTCCTTATGCCCCCACCGCCCCCCCCCTCGATTTTGGGTCCCGCGGCCCGCTCGGGACCCGCTCCCCGCCGGGCCCTGCCGCCGCCGCCGCCAGCGCGCAGGCGCACAACACCGCTGTCGCGCTTTTACTTTTTTTTTCCTTCATGGTCCGCCTTTCTCAATAAGCTAGCTTTATTTGAACACAAGGAAGTGAACAACGGACACGGAGAGCCGAGGCTTTACTCCAGAAGAATGGAAGACCAGAGGGAAGAGTTACTTCGTCGCGATGGACAGTTCTGCGACCAGCCTCGTTTCCGTTTTCATTTTCTTATTTTTCCCGGCCTCGCTCTGCTCCTCCCTAAATTGCCATCATTCCCTTTAAGAAATTAGAACCGTTTTGGCTATTTTCCAACCATGCCTTCCTTGTGAAACTTAGTAAAAAGCTTAATAGAAGGTGTAAGAACAGATACACCTGAGTTCAAATTTTGATACCAGCTACTGGCAATTTATGACTCTGAGCAAATTACACATTTTATTGGAACCTCGGTTACCTCAAAGTTAATTAAGGGAGTGTCTTATCTCTTAGAGTATTGCTGGCATTAAAGGAAACCTTTCCAGTATTTATCCGTGAATGGTACCTATCAGAGAGCAGGCATTCCATCAATACCAATGACTAATATTTTATTAATCATTAATGTATTTCTATTTATTATTAGCCTGCACTCATTCCCTCAGGACCCCATTTTAGTGACAAGAATTAGTCACTGAGACGAAATTACAAAAAGGCTGATAATAATGTAAAGTGGTAGTCCCCCAATGTTACTGAAGCTTTAATAGCATCTGTTTCAGAAGACTGTCAATGCCTTAAATCAAAATAAGTAGATACCTCCATCTTATGTGTAAATTCAGATTTGCTTCTAGAGGATTGAGGAACTATTCCAATTCTGTATTTGTGACATCACAACTCCATGAAACACTCAAGGTCTGGGTTATATTGTTCATTCTACTCTCCTTTAAAGGCATGCAATGGATGAGCTGCATTCCCTTTAAGCTCAGGGCCATAGTCCAAGGAAAAGCCTGTAGAAGACCAAAGTCAGCTGTTGGTTAGCAACAAGGTAATCCAAGATCAGGGTTTCTTAATTAATCTTGCACTTCTGACATCTTGGAGATAATTCTGGTGCTGTCCTGTGTGTGTGCATTGCAGGATGTTTGGCAGCATCCCTAGACTTTAGATGCCAATAGTACTCCCTTACTTCCCTCTCCTACCATTATCTCACTGTCACCATGAGAATCAAAAATGCCTCCAGACATTGCCAAGTGTTCCCTGGAGATCAAAAATACCCCTGATTAAGAACCAGTGACCATACCAAACCTAAATGAACTCAATTATATACTTTCTTGAATTCTGCCCTGAAGAAGTGATTACTACTTGAGAAAGTCATACAGGAAGAGAGAAACTGGTATGATGATTTTTTATCAGTCCTATACATTCCTCAAATCTGCTTATCTATCCTATTACTTTCGTCTGATCAGCATATTCTATCACTTTCTACAATATTCCATATCTTCACTACTTTCTTTAAGCTTCCATTTCCTTTTCTTTTTAAGATTTACTTATTTATGCTACAGAATTTGGGTACAGGCGTGGTGAGAGGATTCACCAAAGACAGAGTGGGGAGCAGAAAAGGCAGATTGACAAAGTACACTGCTGAGGGGAGCAGCGGGTGAGACAGGAGAAGTCTGCTGGGCCATGAGGGTCACCTTACTTCCCCGGCCAGCCGGGGATTGAACTCATGCTGATGAGGCTGTGCTAGCTGCTTTGTAATGCTGTGCTTTAACCCACTGTATCACCAGGGAGGGCCATCCAGTTCCTTTTCAATCAGAAACTGCTTCATCTCTTACTTCATAGAGAAAGTGGAGGTTATCAGATGAGAACTTCTTTAATTCTGGTTACTAAACATACAAACTTGCAGACACATACTTCCTTCCTCTCATTATCACTGAAAAGGTACCTTCTCTGACACTCTCTTCCAAGACCACTCTTCCCATCAGTGCTTTGGATTGCCTCTATACATATACTCACAAAATCTTTATCTACTAACTATCCCTGCCCTTTAGTCAACAGTTTTCTTTGTTGTATCTTCCTTGTCATGTCTTAATTTCTAACAAAAATCCAAAAACAGAAAAAGAATGACATTTTTATCATCCACTCTCCTTCCTCCCTCAGAAGGTCAAACTTTTCGAAAGCATTCTACAGACTTTTCTGCATCTAAGTGACCCTTTCCTTTACCATTTCACCACACGGCTTTCACTAAAATTACCAAACACCTATATTATTAAATTATAAATGTTCTCCTTTAGGCTTCCTCTTCCTTGTTCCTTTTAGGAACAGTCCACTCCTTCTCTGGTTCTTCCTCTCTTTCTCCCTCAACCCCACTTCAACCTTTATTTCCAACATTGTGCTTTATTTGTAGAAGTGCATGGAAGGGATACCAGACCTGCAAACCTATTTAAAACTACCCAACAGCTGTCAGTGTTCCTACTATAAATGCAGGTTCGTTATTCAAAAAAATGCAAGGTCTGGCCATTGGCGATTGTTTAAAGCTTATTTCCTCCTTCACCGTGAATATACAATGAGTTCTAAACGTTTAACAAGGATGAACTACGAGTAATTTCCAGAAATGCTGTATGTTCTTGGCGTTAAGTTATTGCCACAGCCTGGAGCACTGGCTTCCTTCCTCACCGACTTACCTTTCACGATTAAAGTTATTTCCTTAGAGAACCCTTCCAGACACCCCTAACGCTTGGTTATAATAATAATAATAATAATAATAATAATGCGCCAACGGTGCCTCGGATTTTCTGTATGCCACGCCCCATATTCTACACTTTATAACTTGTTCGCAAATTTATCTGCCACTCTATCAGATCAAAAGATCCTGGAGGGCAGGAAAGGCATTCTGTTCCCCTCCCTTCCCTCAGCGCTCAAGCTGAACAGTGCCTGGCACAAAGGCTGCCCTCGACAAGAGTTTGTTGCAGGAAACTTCACCTTTGGGCTGGACTCGTACAAGGTGTTAACTGGTGATTCCCCAGGTTCCCCGCCTGCGTGGCAAAGCGATTTAACCCCCCCGCTCCGTGATTGGCTCCTGCTGCAGGGGTGTGTCCGCACCGCCTGGGGAAATGCGCAGGCGCGCTGATTCAGCGCGCGCAGGCGCAGCTCCGGGTCCAGTCCCGGGGTGTCCGAGCTGCTGCGGCCGGAGAGGAGTGGCCGGAACTGCTTGGTGAGTCTCCTGGAGCCGGGCTGAGCGACCTCGCCCGGGTGAAGCTTCAGATAAAAAAAAAAGTGTATTTCCTAACGCTTGAAAAGTTGGTGGGGTCGGGGTCTTAAGGGTAGGAGGGGACTTAAGGGGAAGCGCGGACGCTCCGGCCCGAACTGGGTGGGTAGGTCGGGCCCGGACCCTGGACGCGAGGTGGCGGGAGATGTTCTAGGGGCCAGCGGAAGAAGGGTGGAGGGCTGGTGGTTCTGGACCCTTTCTGGAAGCCAAACAAGTTGAGTCCCACCCCTACCCACCATCAGGGTTGCAGTGGTCGGGGTTAATAAATAATGAAGTATGATGACCAGGTAACTGTGATAGTTGTTTAAAGAAGGTGTTTTTATGGCATGGGAGAGTCCTTGCTCTCCAGGAATGCCCATTCTTACCTCATGTTTTTATAGCAGACGCAAGAAGAAAAGATAGGTAAAATAACACATTGCACAATTTGGAGTTGGAGTAGTGGGGTGGGAAAGTACTGAGAAGTGTTGGGTTTTGCCCTTTTTTTCCTTAAATCATTAGTCATCACAATGTTAAGAAAGACAGATGAGGGCAAAGGAAACTGAAAGACATCAAAATTGAGAAAAGAAGATAAGAAGGGAGTATCGTTTTGCTTTTTCTGTTTGTCATCTTTCTTGGATGGGGTGGGAATGGGGCAGACCTGGAGAGGGAAATTTGGATTAGCAGTTTATGACACTGTTTCGTCAGCCTTGTGAAAATAATGTAGCTTACTAGCAGATATTTCAAGAATTAAGAGGAATAGTATCCCATCTGCCCTGGTGCCCTTAAGACTGGTTTACAGATGTCTTAGTCAAATACTGCAGATAAACCCAAATAGACATGTTCTCCCACATTCTTGTGAAGCCTGGAAAAGACCACATTTGAAATTGATGAGAAATCATTTGCTGGAATACTTTTAAGAACAAATCTTATGTTTTGTAGCAAATTTTTTTTAAAGATTTATTTATTTATTTGTGCATACAGAACTGGGGTACAGGCCAGAGGCTCAGGGGAGGTGAGAGGCTTCACCAGAGACAGAGTGGGGAGCAGAACAGGCAGATCGACAAAGTACACTGCTGAGGGAAGCAGCGGGCGGGTCAGGAGAGGTCTGCCACGCCATGTGGTCTCCTCCGGGGCAGGCGGCAGGCGGGAATCGAACTCATGCGGAAGTGGCCTCAGATTCTCAGTGCTGTGCTTTAACCCGCTGCGCCACCAGGGAGGGCCCGCAAATTTTTTTTTTTTTTAATTAATATTTCTCCCACTAAAAAAGTGGACACCAGATGCAATCAGCAATCACTTGTCACTTGTTCCTTTGGCAAGAGGTAATGAAAAAGAACACATTCCTAAATATATTAGTAAATATTAGGAGAAACATCACATTGTCATGCTCCTTTGACAGGTCATGTGAACATAAATAAACGGTTATAATTTAATCTGCAGCTTAAATATTTAGTAGTTTGCTAGAATTAAAAAAAAAAAAAGTGTGTGTGGATATGCACTAGAAAATGGTTTAGTTTAGTTCCAAAATAGAAATGACTTACTATGCCATTATTTTCTCAATGTTGTACTCTTTTCTATAAACAGTAGGATTTCTGTGTGCATCTTACTATTTGTTTCTTTTACTCTAGATGAATTTAAGTGTAGTGATGAGCTCACTTAACTAGTGATCACATCTTGTCTAAGAGTCAGAACACAACCCTAAACCCAGAAGAAAGCAAACAAACAAAAAACAGGCTTTGTTGTTCATAGGACATCTGTCTGTACTCATCATGAGCCATAACCACCATCATAAGTGTTACCTATGAAAAGATCATCTTTTATTGCTCATATCTTTTTTTTTTAAAGACTTATTTATGCATACAGAACTGAGGTACAGGCTAGAGGTGTGAGGTAGGGGTGAGAGGATTCAACAGAGAGTGGGGAGCAGAACAGGCAGATGTACTAAATACACTGTTGAAGGGAGCAGTGAGTGGGACAGGAGAGGACTGCCAAGCCATGTAGGTCACCTCTCTAGCTGGGGATCAACCTCATGCTGCAGTGGCTGCAGATTGACTCATAGTGCTACGCATAACCCATTGCACAACTGGGGAGGGCCTCTACTCATTTCTTTAAAAAATTGAAGAACAGGCCCTCCATGGTGGTGCAGCAGGTTAAAGCACAGCACTAAGAAGCTAAAGCCACTTCAGCATGAGTTCAATTCCCAGCCCCGGAGGTGATCCACATGGCGCGGCAGACCTTTCCTGACCCGCCTGCTGCTCCCCTCAGCAGTGTACTTCATCAGTTGACCTGTTCTGCTCCCCATTCTCTCTGGTGAATCCTCTTACTGCCCCTACACCTCCTGCCTGTACCCCAGTTCTGTATGCATACATAAATAAATCTTTTTTTTTTTAAAATGAAGAACTGTAAGGCCAATAAGCTTCAAAATTCTGCCTGTTGATGGCATTCATTGTTGTGACCCAAGCCTAGCAAATAATACTAATTTGGTTTTATTGGATGAAAATAGACTAGAATAGCAAAAATTTAAAAAGTGGATGTTTGCTTTCTTATGTTTTTGTGAAATCAGCTACTTTTTTTTCTTCTGAATTAAGGGTTTTTTTTTCTCCTTTAGTTACTGTGTACCAAACATTCTGAAAATCTTTTAGCTGTGTTTGTACTCTGCATTATGTGTATGTTAGCATTTATAATGTTGTTTATTTCTGAGAGTGCTGAACTTCGTATTCCAGTGCCATATTTTGTTTACAAGTCTGTACATTGACAGAGGAGTAGATGATAGGGACTTTTATTTGTAGTGGTGGGTATTGACTGGAAACACATGGATTCAGTGCCTGCAACAATTGGAGGAAGTGGATTGTGAAGCCAGGAAATAGCATGTGATGTTCCTTTTATAATACTGGATGTGGAGGTGGAAGTCTATTTGCACTCATTTAAATTCACTGACATTTTTGTTTTGATTTTAACTTATATTGGTAAAAAAATATTTAAATCACTGAGTTTTTCTGTAATTCCCTCATCTTGTTGATTTTTAAAAAGATTTATTAATTTATGCAGACAGAGCTGGGGTACAGTCCAGAGGAGCAGGGGCGGTGAGAGGATTCACCAGAGACAGAGTGGGGAGCAGAACAGGCAGATCAACAAAGTACACTGCTGAGGGGAGCAGTGGACAGGTCAGGAGAGGTCTGCCGGGCCTTGTGGATCTCTTCCAGGGCAGGGATGGAACTTATGCTGAAGTGGCTTTAGCTTCTTAGTGCTGTGCTTTAACCTGCTGCGCCACCAGGGAGGGCCTCATCTTGTTGATTTTAATGAGTGTGATAACTTAGATTAAAAGTTGGTTTTAAATTTATTTTAACAAGGTTTTGAGACTTGAGATTACCTTTAGGTGGCCCCCTGATACATATAATATAAATCCAAATTTCTTCCTATTGTATTTAAAGCCCTTTGGAGCCTGTTTCCTGTCTGCCTTTAAAGTCACTTTACTCCCTCCATATTTTGTTTGTCTCCCCTGTTTTTTCACACACACATAACTTGTGTAATATTCCTTTCTGACAGTGGAGCCTTACATTGTGGCATTTCTTTGACAATCTAAAGTGTCAAATTTTAGGGTTGATCATATTTGGATTTTGACTAATGAAAATTATGAGATATTTAATAATTACTGTGAAAAATTATAGTAGCTTTCTAGATCATATGTGCCAACAAGAGTTCTCAGTGCTTTGCATGAATTAATTCAATCCATAAAACAACACATAAAGCAAACATCATATTGTCATCTGATGAGGAAACTGAAGCACATAGAAGTTAAGTAAGCAACAGTCAGGATTTGAAACCATTGGGTATTTAGCACTGCATTGTAGTCTCTAGTATAAACAAGAATACCTCTATCAATCAATCTACTGAGGGAACTGAGTGCTTATATCCTATCTGTGGTATCTGACTCCTGGAATCTGCATACCTGGAAAGCTAACGAGAAGGCTTCTAGGTGAACTCAGATTCAGAGCCAAATACTTGGAAGGTTTGGGTGAATATGTCCAGTCAGGTAGGGTGAAGCCTACCCTGTCACTGTTACCTCACACTGTTACCTTACTTATAACTTTCAGAGTATTTGTCTCTCTTTCCTGGAGAATGCTGCATAATTTGCCAACTTCAAGCTCTTGAGTCCCTTTCTTAACTTTCATATAGAGAACCCATTTCTGTTCCCACAACCTTCGTTAGGCAGGGTCACTATAATTGATTATAATCACATCTAGATCTGCCTCTTTAGGATTACTAGTCTCTTAGAGTACAAGTTCCGGTATTGACCTGGATTGAAAACTAGGTGTTGAACATAACGCAATTAAGTTATAATAGGTGCTTCTGTGAAGTGTCTCTTTGGTCCTTTTAGTTCCTGATATGTGTGATACTTTCTCACTTAGCAGTGTGATTTCTATCTTGAATCATGCATCAGTACACTTTGAAACTAAGATGCTTAATAGATAAACTCTTATATTTGCATAGATTTGGGACCTTGAAAAAAAATGGTTAAAGTTGGTAGAAGGAAGTCCATAGGAAACTTGAGGAAGTAAAAGGAGGAAACTGACCTTAACACAGATAAGATTGTCATCTAAATGCCTTCAAAAAGAGGGCTCTCCCTGGTGGTGCAGTGAGTTAAAATGCAGCGTTATGAAGCTATCTGTAGCCACTGCAGCACCAGTTTGATCCCCAGCCAGGGAGGTGACCCACATGGCACAGCAGACATCTCCTGTCCTGCCTGCTGCTCTCCTCAGCAGTGCATTCAGTCCATCTGCCTGTTCTGCTCCCCACTCTGTCTCTGCTGAATCCTCTCACCACCACCACCACCCACCTCTGGCTGGTACCCCAGTTCTTATATGTATGCATGCACGCATGCATGCATGCATAAATAAATAAATCCTTCAGAAAGCGTTAACTTTCCTCTTCAAATCATGGGATCTTTTGTTTTTGCCTAATCCAGAATT